CAGGGCTGGCCCAATACATGTGCCAGATGGGCGACGGCCCAGGGCAGCATGTAGGGACATACATATCAGAACTAACAGAAGCTGCTGTTGGAGCAACATTAGGAACCTGACCAGCAGAAGACGGATGCAACATGAAATTAGACAAACAATTTATTGCAAAAAATCAAATAAACCATAAAAAAGAAAGATTGTTGAATTGCAATCTTAGTTTTCTACCTTATCAGTACTTGTATCTGATATAAAGACTGAAGTGAGAGGAATATTGACGGCAGATGCAGCAACTTGAGCAACTTTTGTATGTAAGCCTTGCTCCATCTCAATGCCACCGTGTGTAACTAAAACAGTTCCATCAGTGTAGACATTAACAAGAGCTGCCGCCTACCGCCATTGAAAATATACTTTCTTTGTATATTGTTATATTTTTAAGTAGGAAAACTATAATCATCTTGACAATCAACAGAAATACATGCATAGTACCTTATTAAAGACAACCCTAAATATAAAATATTCCATGATACCTAATTAAAGAACTTAGTTGTAAATGATGCGCCGTATTTTGTTGGAATCACGGCAATACCATGCTTCTTCCACCGGTTACAAAGATTAAATTCATCAACTTCTTCTCCAACTTTCGGGAAGTCGCAAGATACTTTCAGCTCTTTCTGAACCTGAGCTAGAATACAGTGTTCTAATCATTGACCGCAATATATTTTGATTCTGTTGCTGTATTTTCTAGTTTTTAGTGTCAAATCAAATTAAACTTAAATGTTTTTCTAATTTCAAATCAAATTGACATATAATCAGCTTTATCGATTTAAATTTGTTAAAAATAATTATTTATTACTAAAAATATTGAATTACTATATTAACATTATAAATCCCCGGTTGTTTCCGTGGAAAGAAATTTTTTAAAATTGAAGTTCTTGAAATCATATTTTCGAAGCACGATGACTCAAGATAAATTGAACGGATTAATAATTCTAAGCATCGAAAGTTAAATTTTACAAAGTTTTGATTATCGTAAAATAATATAGTTTTTTGCTTCAAAAAATGCACGAAGGCATTATTTTAGGTGATATTTGTAGCCTTTAGGTTTTAGTTTGTATTAACATTGATATTGTTTGACTATAATTTCTATTACATTTTTGTTTTAAAAAAAATTATTTATGTTTTGTCTATTATACTGTACAAGCATAAGGGTATAAAATTATTATCTCGCCCAGGACATTAAAACTCATTAGACCAGCTCTATCTACTAGCGTGTTCTTTATGAAGACCGAGATGGCGGAGCTGTTGTTGGAGGCGACGTTGACCGCTATCAATCCGACGGTGGCTATGTCCTTGGCGTCTTGGCTGGCGTGCTCGGCAGTCAAACTCGACACACACAGGTTCTTCTCCCTTACTTTTTGACAGATCTCGGTGACTATTTTACTATCGGAAACGGCGTTGTTTAATAAGACGAAAAAATATATAGCCAATACGATATTATCTGTGACAGGCTTCATTATTTTCATCTCTCGTTTATAAATTTTTCGATTTTTTTAAACTTGTAAAATTTATTAAAAAAATCACGATTTTTATAATTTATGCGTAAAGTTCGATTAAGAAAATTAAGGTTAAAACAAGGATTCTCTAAGATGGTGGTTGGTTGACATGAATCACTTGAAATTAGAATCTAATTACATCACTTTCTCATGTTTGGTTCAAGTTTTTCAAGAGAATTGGAATCCTTCATGGCTTCAACTTTCCATCAAATGAGGGAAAGTGAATTTCATCCAATAATGGATAGAATTCAATTCCCTTGTTGGAGGGAATTAAAATTTGACCATACTACCCTCATCAATCTTTTGGTAACTTATTCATATATTGAATAAAAATATTTTTTATTATTTCGAGTCAGGTTTCTAATTTATATATTCGGGTCGGGTCGGGTGAAACTTTATTTTGGTCAGATCTGTTTTTTTAAGTGTAATATTCGGATCGAGTCGAGTTCGGGTTTAGGGTGAAAATACCCGACCCGAAAATATTTATGATTTTAACTTATATATTTAGGAATAATTATAATAATACCCATCTATATATAATTTTTTCAATTAAGTCACTGTTTTTATTGAATAAAAATATTTTTTTTATTATTTCGGGTCGGGTCGGATTTCTAATTCATATATTCGGGTCGGGTGAAACTTTATTTTGTCCGGGTCGGGTTTTTTAAGTGTGATATTCGAGTCATGTTCAGGTTTAGGGTGAAAAAAACCGGACCCGACCCTAAAAAAATATATAATTTTACCTTATATATTTATGAATAATTACAATAATACCCTTCTCTATATATATATTTTTCCAATTAAGTCAATGTTTTTATTGAATAAAAATAATTTTTTTATTATTTTGTGTCGTGTCGGGTCGGGTTTCTAATTCATATATTGAATAAAAATAGTTTTTGGTATATTTTTTTGTAACTAATTAACATACTCCGATTGGAATGTATCAAAATATTGTTCTATCTTTTGGTAACTTATTAACATATTTTGATTGTGATGATTTTAACTTATGATGCTTATTAGCATGATTTTTATAATTTATTGAAATGAATAATCAATCAATAAAATGAAAATTTAATATTTTTTTAATTTTTTATAATATATTACTACATGTAAGATGTAAAACAAACTAAAATAAAGAAAAAAAATAAGAAGGGCAATTCTGTCATTTTACATTACTGAAATAAAATTCATCTGACATGTCTGCGAACCAAACAGAATATGAAATTGGATTCCAATTCCATTTCCTGCCAACCAAACAAAATATGAAATTAGATTTCAATTCCTAATAAATTACAATTCTTGATAGATTCTAATTCCTTCACATACCAAACGTCACCTAAGGTGTGCCTTTAAAAATAAGCGCTAAAAATGGTGGAAAATATTAACAATCAACCCAAATATGAATGCATTTACCCTTTTAATTAATGGCAATGGTTATTATTAGACTCCTTGGGAGTGACTTTGCTTCTTGTTAGGCTGAATTTGGTCAGGATTTTAAGGCCGTAGATTCGCTAACCCTAGCCACACAATCCCACATCGGCCCATTAGTAAGCGTGTGTGTGTGTGGGGGGGGGGGGAACAATATCTTTTAATGAAATTTTAGTTTTAGGTTATTTTTGTGAAATAAAATTAATATTAATAATAAATATAATAGAATTTATCAAATCAAAAATTAAATAATAGTAAATTATGTTATATCAAATTATGAAGATACATTGATGTAAATAAATTAAGGGTAAATTACACAAATATTCTCTTAACTATAGGACACTACTTTGTTGAGTCATTCAATTATTAAAAGTTATAAAATGATTCATGACTATAGAGTATTGTTGCTTTGTTAAGGCTCTCGACTATTAAAAGTTATAAAATGATCAATTGACTATTCATATATTTCAAACTCGTCATTTTCAGTTAAAAATTTGACGGTTGTCTGAGTTAGATGTTAACTTGTTGACTAAGATATGATAGTTGTTTTGATTATGAAATCAAATTTTATCATATCCCAGTCAACAAGTTAATTTCCAGCTTAGACTTTCGTCAATTTTTAACAGAAAAAGACGAGTTTGAAAAATATGAATAGTCAAACAACTATTTTATAACTTTTAATAGTCGAATGACTTAACAAAGTAATATTCTATAGTTAGAGAATCATTTTGTAACTTTTAATAGTCGGATACTCGCTTAACTTATATTTTGATATAACAAATATTTGTAAAATTGATTTTGGATATAACCAAATATTTCAAAAATAATTAAAAATAAAAATTGTATATACTTATCCTAGGTGGTGAACGTGCAACATTAAGGCTATCGGTAGAGTTCCGAACTGTTCTGATATTAGCCGAAAGGATATACTTATTTTATAACTATAAAAAAAGTACATTTCATTTATAATGTTTTTAGCATACATGACATTGACATTGAATGAAATGATTAAAAAAATAAAAAATCGTATATTTTGATAGCATATATAATATACCGTGTCTTTATCTTACGATTCGATATATATCGTGTGTTTATCTTATGTGACATTGAATGAAAGCATTAGGTGGTGGATATAAAAATATTTTTGAGATAGGCAATTATCTATTAATAATATATAATGTTCACATAGGTTGACATAAATAACATTTTAGGTCGAACAATATTAATAAAATAAATAATTAATATAAAAAAATAAATTTTAAAATTAACATTCGATAGAACATAAATTGGATTAGATGGTGGTTGATGATATCAACACATGTATATATTCATGTTTTTATTTGAATAGTCTTAAGTATAAATTAGTATATATTTTAATTTATTTTAGTTATTGACAATGTATAATATAAAATAAGTGTTTAAATTATATATTTTTTCTCATTTAGGTGTCTAAATTATTTTTCAGTCAATTTAGGTGTCTAAATTATTTTTCAGTCAATTTAGGTGTTTAAAGTTTCAAACGTTATACTCTTAGGTGTCGTGATTACTATTATCATTAAATAACACATGTGACCTTTATAAAATTTAAAAAATTTATATTTTTTAAAAAAAATCAAAATTACCTTAATGTAATACGTGCCATTTAAAGGCAAAATTTAATGTATATTACGATCGAGACACCTAAAAATATAATATTAAAAACGTTAAACACCTATATTGATAAAAAAAATTAAATATCTAAATATGAAAAAAAACAATATATTTTAGATACTTGTTTTTATATTAAATATAATAATAATAGATATACTTTATTGATGTAATTGTTGAAAAAAATATCCAAAAATATATATTAAAATGCATTATTAACCATTGAAGACCTTTACCCATTGACAACGAATATTATGATTTATCAAAATTAAATACCATATATTTAATTATGTAAATATTTTAACATCTACGAGTATCGATGAAACTTATGATTTACAGACCCAACTAACCACACACCGCACCGCAGCATCCACCAACCATTTTATCTGTTTTGTTTGTTTTAGAGTTGACAAATTTGGCATAGGGTGTGCTCTTCAGAATCTACAGGCTATCTACCCGTGAAGGCACCCACCTTCTTCGTCCCCAAAAGGAAACGCCAAATTCCCCTTCGAAAACTCCATTTTCCATTAAAAGAGAAGAAACAAACAAATGGCTCTCAATCGCACCACCGCCATTCCCATATCTCTCCTCCTCCTCCTCCTCCAATCGGCTCTCGCCGCGTCATTTCCCCTCACCGTCAGCGACGACACACCGTCAGCCTATGAAGTCCTCCAAGGCTACAACTTCCCCGTCGGTATACTTCCCAAAGGAGTCCTGAAGTATGATTTAGATGAATCCACGGGTCGATTCCATGCCTACTTAGATGGATCGTGTAGTTTCTCGTTGGAAGGATCTTATCAACTCAAATACAAATCCACAATCAGCGGAATCATATCAAATAACAAGCTCACAGATCTTTCTGGAATAAGCGTCAAGGTCTTTTTTCTATGGCTCAACATTGTGGAGGTTACTAGAGATGACGATGAGCTAGGCTTTTCAGTAGGAATTGCCTCTGCGAGCTTTCCAATTGATAACTTTTATGAGTGTCCGCAGTGTGGATGTGGGCTGGATTGCCTTAATGGGAAAGTAAGCAAGCTTAGAGTTAAATCTTCTTTCGCTTCAATTTAGAGGTATTTGTAGGGAGAAAATATTTAAGTTATTGAATGCTATGTTTTCATATTGGGTTGAATTGAAGTGGATTTGCCTATATATTGAAATTTGCAGAGTTTTAACTTTTTATGTGTTTAGATTTTCAAGTCATTTGTGTGTAGTTGTTTATGATTATGTGGTTGGTATTGCTTTAATTGCTTGGTTAGGGAAGAATTTATCAACTATGCGGCTAATGCATCGACATATTAGACCATCTTTCTTTTAATTCCATGAGTTAGATTGTTAGGAAGCTAAGCCTTGAGACAGTGTGTGTTAATCTGGGTGTTAATAAAAGGCCATGCCTTGCAAGATTATCTCCTGTGTATGATAGTGGAACTGCGAATTTGTATCACTATTGAGTGACCATCGAGTGAATAGAAAGAGGTCGAAAGGGCAGAAAGGAGGACTAGGGCAGACATGGGATTATGCATTTTTTGTTGAAGTTGAAGTAGGATGTAGTAACTGGACATGAGAGGTAGAGGTAGGAAGATAAAGAATGTTTCTGGCAGGAACTATGTACATGTGAGAGCTTCTGTGATCTGTTTGTATCTTAGTCAAGTCATTAGCCAATATCTTGAGTGCTAGGTTGCGATATATGTGACAGTATAGTTTGCTAGGCAGGATATATCTTACACATTATGCAAGTACCCTTTAGGCTTAGCAGAGAACTTCGATGGCTTCACTTTCAGCTAGAAAAGGTTATCATTTGACTTGCTTGGTGTGGAGTTTGCAGTTGCCTAAAATGCTTTGATTTGATAGAGAATTTGTATATCTTGAGTTGTACTTGCATACTGTTGTCTGGATATATGATGAAGGCAGTGATCTCATTATCATTAAACCCAACCAGATTCAAAATATGGAATTCAATAGTCATGCTTCTGTAGTTTTGTTGCTCTATTCAAGTGAAATTATATGGGAAGGTGCCATTCTTTGTGGTCTGAAATGATTAAAGCTGATATCCCACTTATTTGACTCGGTCCTTTTCATTTTAGCCGATCATAGGCAGTCTGTATCGTGTTTAAAATGGGCTTGTAAGGACCTTTAGACCTGGAAAAAGGTTCAGGTTTTGCCTTGGAAGTTTCTCTGGTTGCAAATGTTCTAGGCCAGGATGACTAAATGGGAATAACTTTTATTTATTCGATAAGTTGGAGTTGATGCCTGAAGTTCTTAATCCAGTTTATGTAGCAGTTAGCTTGAAGCTATCACATTACTGTAATTTTTGACAATCTTGAGAATGTTTCTTTTGTCCAATCAAGATGTAAGAAAATTCTAGAAATAGATTAGTTGATAAGGACTTGGACAAGATAAATATCTGATCGCTTTTAGACTAGTTCGCTGCTGGACGTTAACTTATAAGTTCATACCGAGATCTCAGACTCAGAGTAAAATGTCCTCCGTAGCTGCTTTTGTGCTGTAGTTCAAGTGGAGATTGCATCATGAATTATGTCTTCCTTGAACACCCAATTCTTACTCATTGAATTATGTTGTGTCTGCACTTCTATTAAGAAGAGAGTCTTGCAGGAAGCAAGGCTTGAATAATAGAAAATTTCCCGAAATTTATTATTTTATTTTGTAATTATTTTAATATTTTTATTGCATTTAAATAAATGCTTTTAGTGCATGAGAGGGTGGATCATAGCTCAATAAGCTCCACTTCTCTCTTTCGATGATAACAAATACCAATGGAAAACTAGTTTTTCCTATACCTACTGCAGGTGAACTCTGATATTTATCTAGGAACAATACCAAAAATAGATCCCAACGTTTACTAAAATGGTCATTTTGACCTCTATTCTATTTTTTAAAGCATTTTGCCCCCCCCCCAACGTTTTGCTTTAGGGCATAAAGCTCCTTTTACAGATAAAAATCATTAGTTAACACATGATTAACGTTCCAAAATAAGAGCATCTTTTAACCTAAAATGAAACGTTGAGGGCTAAAATATCCAAAAACAAAGGAATAAGGGACAAAATGATAATTCTGTCAAATGTTGGGGCCTTTTTGATCTAAAATGAAACGCTAGGTTAAAATGCTTCAAAAAAAATAAAATATGAGCAAAATGATCATTTTTGTAAACATTGGGGGACTAATTTTAGTGTTATACCCATTATTCTACTCCAAACAACAGAATTTTAAACCCATTTCATCTGCCTCACGGTGAGATGGTGGAACCCACAAAAATATGCTTATATTGTCATTTGCCAAGATGCATGAACGTTGTTTTTTCACTCGGCATCGAATATTTGAGTTTTGGAATTGGGATTCGGTTACGAATAACTCTATAATATATGTTTTCTAAAGTACTGTGTTAATCCCATAAACATTCTCAAATTATGGTTTAGATTCTAAATTTGCATTTAAATGTTAAAAATGTTCTAATTGGGTCATTAAATTATCTATTAATATTGTTTCTATCAGGTTTTCCTGTCACTTTAATCATCAATTTGAGTGTTAAATGTCATTTTACATTTGACACAAACATATTTAAAATAGGGAAATTAAATTGTAAACACTTTGCAGTTATTGAATGTATTATTTGAATTTAATATGTTTAAAATTACATAATCAACCCCTTTTTAACATGCACACTCATATTGTTCATGTAGTATGTACGTGTGTTTAAAAGTTTGATACATGTATTTTTTTTATATAAAAGTAACTAATTTTATTCAAAATAAAAAATGTCTCAAGTTACAATGAAGGTTTACAATCATAGTCGCGAAAGAAACATATAATTAGGAAGATTTTCTATAATCATTGAAGTAAAACTAACAACTTAAGATCACATAAGGACCATATAAGTAAAGATTAAAAATATAACCAAGAAACTCGAACAAAGATAGATATAAGCAGAACTGATTGCATCGACAAACGAACCATAAAAGGGAATCAAACTATTGAAAGACGCCAACAAATTGCAAGTTAGATTTGAGCGACATGAAAAATTATCCAGTAATGCAAATCAGGTATCAAAATCTAACTCGAGGGTCCAAAGTAGAGAAGATCAATAAGATATTAGATAGCCATCATCTTGATCATGCGTGTCGATGTCAAATCAACCCTTAGAAAAAAAATAAATGAAAAAAAAACCAAAAAACCGAAAACATGTCAAAAGACGGAAGAAAACGTGTCATACAGACATACTTGTTGAAAATAAAAATATAGAGATGTGATATAAGAAAAGAAAATGATAATAAAGAATATTGACAGTCGAAAATTAATATTAAAATCAGTATCACCGTTGATTAATAAAAACGCAAAAGAAAAGAGATGAGTGGCATGCTAATGAAATAAAATTAGATTATTTACAAAGAGTTATTTTTACATGTATTTTAAACATGTTTGAAGTAGGACGAGAATAAGGAAAGACGATGACATTCGTTTGAATACACAATTAAAACACCTTAGTCGAACTTGCAATCCCTTAATAATATATATATATATATATATATATATATAAGAAAATATTTTTTTGAAGAAACTAAAGGGGCAGAAAAGAAAGGTCAGAAAACAGGGATATTATAAATTTTGGTATTTGAATTTGGTAATAATTAAGAATTGATATATGATCTTGAAAAGAATTTTTAAAAGATAATTATTAAAATTAATATCTAAACATTGATTGGTTAAAATAATAGTATTATTCAGTGTCATACGTTATAATCTTATTAGTTATTAAATTTTTAGATCAGAACTAGTTATCAAAATGAGAGTTTTTCCCGAGCTAAAGTACCGATTTGAAAATTCAATTTCAGGTACCGATTTGAGAAAAATTAACAAGTTCATGTACTAATTCATACAATAAGCCAAGAAATATGATGTTTTTGATTTGGACCTAGCGAACCCTTTTACTTTAGGGCCGCCGAAAGATAACCCACCCCGAACCAATGAATGTATCGATGACTAGGCCTTTCGGGTCCCCCCCCCCAAACCAAATCGAGTGAGTTCCGATTAGGGAAAAAGAAACCCTGAATTTTAAACCCCCTTTCGCACGTATCTGTCATTTATTTTTGCTTCAGCTTAGAGCCAGGGCCAGGAGAAAACATGGCGGAGATTAGTCAGGGTCAGGGTCAGGGAGAAGAAATTCCTCCGAATATGACTTTATACATCAACAATCTTAATGAGAAGATTAAACCCGACCGTACTTGTTCCATTTCTCTAAATCCCTACCTCCCAATAAATGCTTATATTACTTTCTTCTCATTGATTTTCCCCCCTCGAATGATGCTTGCAGAGTTGAAGAAGTCGTTGCACGCTGTGTTTTCACAATTCGGAAAGATACTGGATGTTTTGGCATTCAAGACTCTGAAACACAAAGGTCAAGCTTGGGTTGTGTTCGAGGATGTTAGCTCCGCTACCAATGCTCTTAGGCGAATGCAGGGCTTTCCCTTTTATGACAAGGAAATGGTATATATTTTTAGCAATTGTAACTTCTTTATTCCTTTGCTTATGATCTGATGCATTTCAGTATTTCTGGAGAAATGTTTATGTATTTGTCTGTGTTTTTTCAGACAAAAAATGATTAGATTTTAATTTTAATCTTATAGGGCACTTCGATCAATGGAGAAGTCAGTAGTTTTTCTTTTAACTATGGATATTCAGATTATAAATCATGTTCAATACCACCATAAACTGTCATAATATTTCCTGCTGATAATTAATGAAAACAATGTTCAATTCTCTGCAGAGAATACAATACGCAAAGACTAAATCAGATATAATAGCAAAAGCAGATGGCACTTTTGTACCCCGAGAGAAGCGAAAGAGACATGAAGAAAAGGGTATGCTCCTCTTTGTTCCTTATCTTAAGTTGGAAAGGCTAACAGTTGAGCAATGAACATTTTTGTTGTTGTATATGTTTTGCCTATATTTTTACCATAAATTTGTATCGCAACTGTTGTTGTATCTGGTAATCAGTTCTTTCCTTTGCTATTACTTGAATCTCGAAGCTCGGGACTGTTAGGATCATCCCTAGAATTTTGCCGCACAGGCTATTGAGATAACACTAGCAAATGTATTTATTGTTGAATCTTTTAGAATGCGCATTTAGATGCCTCATAATTTGTCTTAATGTCAAAGTAAACCTCACTCTTTTTTGCTTCCTCCCTCTTCTCATTGCTATTTTCTTTCGCCCCACCATTAATGTGATTAGTTGGGTCCTCGTTGTCACCGATAAACTCATTTATTTGAGGTATAGTATCATTGGTGTGCATCAAGGTGTTGATGGAGATGTAAAACCGAGTATGTGTATGTTCTAGACTTAAGTGATAACTGCTAAGCATATGTTCTTTCTTTGACCTGTTGCTTATTTTGTAGTATGCGGCATACAGTTTTATCTGTTTTATAGTTCTGTTTCCTGTTCTCTCCTGAGATTTGAATATGATGTGTCAATGTAGGAGGGAAAAAAACGGAAGGAGCAACTTGATCCTAATCAAGCAGCAGTAGGTTTGAATCCAGCTTATGCTGGTGCTTATGGTGCAACACCTCCTGTAAGGGATATGAAATATATCATCTTATTATGGGATTGACTGTTTTTTTACTCTTTCTTTGGATTCTGGTTGATATTAACTTTGCTTAATCTTGCAATTGTGCTTTTGGTATCGATTATTTAGAAGGTTATATATTTCAGTCTTTGTCCACGTTTACTACTTTTGAGTTTTTGAGCTGCTAAAATCTGGTTGCTGCAAGCCTGCAAGAGCATCTTTTATTCAAACTACTTGGAAATTTTCTGTGCTTTGCTGAGTTGATGACTTCTGCATATTTATTTGTTCTGATGAAACTTGGATGCTAACTGAACATGGCCATTATATACCATCAAACTCTATGAGAAGTGATGGTCGAGAATACGGATGATCAAAGATTGGATACTTTTGAATTGTAATTGAATGAAACTTGGTCCTTTACTTTTGGTGGTGTTAACTACATTTTTAGCATGTATATGTTTCTCATTATTTGCTCCTATATTTTTCTCCAAAATGGTGCAGCTATCACAGTTACCCTACCCGGGTGCTAGATCAATGGTTCCGGAAGCTCCTGCACCACCAAATAACATTCTGTTTATTCAGAATCTTCCTCATGATACAACCACAATGATGCTGCAGATGCTCTTCAATCAATACCCTGGTTTAAAGGATGTTAGAATGGTGGAAACAAAACCAGGTATTGCCTTCGTGGAGTACGAAAACGAGGTGCAATCGACTGTTGCGATGCAGGCACTACAAGGTTTTAAGATACAGCAAAACCAGATGTTGATTACTTACGCAAAGAAGTAGAAGGAAAGGCCAAAATACTCCTCCTATTGCTTCCAACATGAGAAGTGTCTGGATAGTTAATTAGATAGCATTTGGCATCAAATGTGATAGCCATCCTGTGTGACATTCTCTTAACTACGGCTTCCGGATTGTTACTGTAGATTGTTCGACCAGATTTTTTGTGTTTTAAATTAAATTCTCTATACACATTTGTTTAGTTGTAGCAGTCCATATATTGGCTTCGATCTGTGTCCTAATCAGAGTGATCAAGTTCCATTAGTTTCTTCATTTGGTATGGGAAGCTAGAAAGCATAGATTGATCATGTATGAATCAAATGACTAAATTGCCATACCAAACAAAGGGCTATATTAACTGTATACTTGAGTTACACAGGTAGCAGATATAATGCCGGTATAGCTGGATCCATGGTCGGTTCAATCTCAAGCAAATTATACTCTCCAGTTCAGTATTGTGTTTGTCCAGTTGGTCACTCAAATCCTTACTCCATCCCTGGATCAGTCTCTCTTGATTCTTGATGATCTCCGTCTTAGTTCTCAGCTCTTCTTCCATTGTTATAATCTCATGTTACAGCAACATGTTATAACAAAAAAGTATGTCCGATTAGGCCTATTCGGAGTGGCTAACTCATATGCGGCGATCATCTGAGTAGAAGTTTAATGGGTTTACTTGTGTGAGCATTTGAGCCTTAGTTGGCTGATCCTCACGTTGCAGGCCAAGTAAGTATAACTGAAGCTCCTCGGCAGCCTCCATGAAATCTCTAGCATGTCTTTCCACATCAACTACATCAATTGCAGGTAAAAACACCATTTCAAAATACAAGGATTTAGTCCAAAAAGGAAATGGGATACTCTAAATCATTGAAAGCTCCAATTTACACAGATAATTTATGATTTAAGAACAAAAGCAAATATCAAATACTACCAAACAAGCAACATTGCATATCTTAACAGCAGTATATATGAAGAAAATGAAATGGAAACACTTTGGGCAGAAAGGAAACGGTCAGGGCCACTGACTCTGATGAGAAGGGTGGGGAGAACGGTCGATAGCTTGAAGCTCTCTGGCGGGCAAGCATGGCAGCAAAGCCGTCTCCAACGCCACCACCCATGAGATCGTGTCATCTCTTGATGAGCCCTGAGGCGATTGAATCTGCGGATCCAACTGAATATCTTGCCTTTCACTCATTGTTCTTCACCTTAAAAAAGGGGGATTAATTTCACTCGAACAAGCTCTAGGGCTTAATGTTTTCCCCTTCCTTGTGCATAGTACTGTGACAGAGGGCTTCGACTGGATCTCAACGGGCTTACTCTATGGGCCCGCGAAAGTTTGTTCGCATGCAATGGGATAATAGCACGATGACCCTCGAGTTATAGCAAATCTTCTAATGTGGTATACCACACCTCTCTAATCTCGATTTTCCACATCATGTGTTTTAACAGATGATTACTTGGTTCCAATTTCTGCAATTTAAAAGAATTTGACATATGGATATATCTATGTAGTTTCATATCTCAAATTAGATATATATTTTTTAAATTAACATGCAGATAACACGTATTAAGAGAAGAAATAAATATTTTAAAATGATGGAGATACACTTTGTTTCCTAAAGAGCTTAATGCATTCCCCCTTAGATTATAAGTTCTTAATTCGACGAAATTTAATGACAGATTTATTAGATGAAGAGAATTCCATGTTTTAAAGTTAATGGTGAAATATTTGAAGTTATAGTCTAAAACTAGTTGTAATTTGTTTTTCCTGCTTTATATATATAATAATAATAATAATAATAATAATAATAATAATAATGTCACACGTCGGCCAATTTGTTTTGTAGCTGTTCCTCTGTACCTGTCGAAGCAAAGTCAAATATACGCATCAAGAGCATGGTGGACTCTGTGAACTCTTAACTTGTTGGAGCTTGAAAGCATGAGTAAGGTTTGAAAACAATGGAGTACGGATCGTAGTATTAAATTGAGGCTGCATCGTATCCTTTTTCAAGGTCATCACGACACTGCAAACCATAAATTTATATTTGTAACATAAATATATTATTATTTTTAAGAAATAAATCACGTCATAGCATCCGCAATGCCCACGACCGCGTAGTGATTTAATACTATAGTATGCATCCAATCCTCATTGGACTGGTAAAAGTAATCTTCTTTGGTTCAAAAAATCTTGAGTGTGCGACCACATAAGTCATTTACTACAAAACCCACGACACGCTAGCATTTATGTCTTTAGATTTCGATGATGACTTCAGTGTTCTTCCACGAGACAAAAATGGTGATTTAAGGAAGACATGACATCGAGGTGGAGCACTTCTTTAAAAAAAATGCACGTTCAGTTGTGCTCTCATATGGGGATCCAAAAATATTTTTCAGGATGGATACATATGTATTAATAACAAAACTTTTTCTTACGGCATGAGTACAAATAAAATTTCAAGGTGGACACCTTCAATAGAATAGAGAACTAACATAAAGAAATTTGGATTCTAAGTTTGGCATGTTGCCACCCTGGACGCTACATACATCCGTCACTGAGAAAGAATGACACCACTTCTGAGTTTTAACTTTGTCTGCCTGTACAAACACCCCCACTTTAACTTCGTTTAAGAATTTTATTAGGGTTTCGAAATTCATCCTTTGAAAAGTTTGCACGATTTGAAGATTTTTTTCCTTGCGAAGATTGCTTTGCTTACGTTACATGCATCAAAATCACTGTCATCACTCATCAGTGTGTTTGAAATTCTTTTTAGTATCGAGTGCATATGAAAAGCAAGGCCATTAACTTCTTTGCTGGACTTAAAGCTGTTGCCCTACTCTATATAATGGGGAATAATCATATCAACGTAGGGAGCCCCATGCATTCTCCATTCAAACAAGGAAACCACTTTCTCACATAGACACTCACACATTCGTATATTTATATTATCTTCGTAGAGTCATAATTATATTTGTATTTATGATATGTTATTAATATTATATAATAATGTGTCGTGTCAAAAAATATATATGGGTTTCGTTCATACCCATATCATACTCAAAAAAAACTTGCACGTTTGCACCCAGCACGGCAACACGCAAACCCTACGTGCACTCTTACATTATTCTTCTCTGCTTCATTGCACCAACAGGTTCTTTTGCCGCAAAGGGAAACCCTACAAAATGGGGCCATACGAAGGTGGTGGGACCACAAGATTCTTGATCCAATGGCCATCAATGGTGGGATAGGGTTTTAGAGCCTTGTGGTTGTGGCTGACTCCTCTAAGGAAACTAAAGTGATGGTGTGAAATTAAGGCAGACAAGACCTGCTTCTTCTTCCTTGGATATCTCTACTTTGAATTTCTTTCCTCGCCACTATGATTACCTAGTAATGATACTATATATATATATATATTCGAAGTCGAATTGAATCGTGTTTGTAGGTTACATCAAGTTGCTTCCACTTTTCATATATAGAGATGCATCATCTATGTTTGCCGGATTTCTCTTCTTAGTAACTGGGATTATTAAGAAAAATGTAGTAATAACAAGTAACAAGCCGGCTAAGCTCTGCCCATATTTATTTCTCCCTCCCAGGCCTCCCTCTCCCTCTCCCTCTCCCTCTCTCGCTCGCACTTATAAATACCGGAGTCCCTCGAACCATCACTCCCACATCTCAAGGGCAAGCAAAAAAATGAAATAAAAAAGCTCATTCATGGTATGGAGACGTTTAAGCGGGTGAGCAGCTCCCGTTGGAGAAGCAGGGCACGTGCAAAGAGTGTCGTATGTCGTCTCGTTTCACGTGCTCCCCTTTTCCAACACGAGTTCCTCACCTAACCTGCGATCCCCCTCTCGTCGCCTCCATCTCTTGCTAGCTCTTCTTCATGAATACATATTAGTAAGTGAAAATGTACTTTTATCAAGATGTTATTGTAACTATTGATATCTTTTATATATAGAAAAATCGATACATATTTGAGATTCCGAGTTCATTGGCTATGCATTTCAGCTTCTATATATATATATAGATTATATCAAAACTTGGTAATAATTTAGGGGTAATATCAGATCTTATATTTATGTTCTGACAAAATATTTAATATGTTAGATGTACTTTAATAAAACATTCAATGTAGTACCTTAGTTATTATTTTATGTTTTATTATAGTATCAATTGATTTTCATCATTAATTGACAATATCGATCCTAATATCATAGTAATACACAAAATGATAGTTTATGTATAACACTTACTAATGGTATTAATTCAGGTACGATAATGATGCTCATGATGATATTTTAAGTACCATATTGAACATTTCGACAATGACGGAGTTGACTCCAAAGAATGATTTCTTCATAGGTGATTTGAGTTCGAGCGGCTTAACTTGCACCTACGCGCAAATCTAACCTAATTTAATATTAGAACTAGGGATGGCAACTCAACCCGACCCGATTGGGTCGGATTTTTTTAAAAAAAAATCGGGTTTGAGTCGGATTTTTTTTAATACACTGTTTGGGTCGGGTTTAGGATGAAAAAATCCGACCCGACCCGACCCGAAAATATATATAATTTTATCATATATATTTAGGGATAATTACAATAATACCCCTCCATATATAATTTTTTTTCAATTAAATTACTGTTTTTATTGAATAAAAATATATTTTTATTATTATTTCGGGTCGGGTCGGGTCGGGTTTCTAAGTCATATATTCGGGTCGGGTCGGGTCACGGGTGGAGGACCATTTCTTCTCAGGTCAGGTCGGGTGACCCAAAAACCCGACCCATTGCCATCCCTAATTAGAACATACACTTTTATATTTTTAAAAAGACAATAACATGCTTGTTCACACTCATATTGAATATTTACTTAATTGTTTTTATTAAATATGTATCAATTTAGGTGTAATAGTCTAATAGATATTCTACTGTTTTGGACACAGAATTTTGACGAAGTTGTTGGAGATCCCGGTTCAAACACAACATACGATGTTGCTATTTTTGTTTCTGACTCACGGAGAAAGGTTATTATCCTTTGCTATCACTTCAAGTGTTCTTTTATCCAGAGTAAGGTGGTTTTCATGCTAACTGGTCTGTATGCAATTACAGATGAAAGGTGGGAATGGAGTTGGATCAAATGCCAGAAAGTTGCCAGAAGTCAAGGAACCTATTGCGCATAATCAAGACATGCAGGTTTGATCTCTCTGATACTTTTAAGTTCACTCTAGTTTTTGCGTCTTTTGGCAGCTCCTTATTGCTCTGTTTCTTTTCTTGGAAACTCTGAAGGAGGGAGACGAGGGAAGTGATTCAGAGAGCGAACAACAAATGGTTGATGGTATTTTGACTTCAGGCCCCAAGGAATCATATGAACTCCCTTCTCAATCAGAGCTCATTCGACTTGCTTTCGCTGGGGATGATGTCCAAGAAGAATTTGAAAAGGATAAGATCTAGAATGAGGAGAACCCTGAACCAGATAAACCTGTTTTGCACCCGGGTTGGGGTCAATGGACTGATGTACAGCAAAAAAAAAAAAAAATTTGCCTTCATGGATGCTTAAAGAACATGAAGATGCTAAGCGGAAGAGGGAAGAAACTCTTAAGAGAAGGAAAGATGCACACCTTAAGCATGCCATTATCTCCGAAAAGGTGGATAAAAAGGTAAGTAGTTTAGTTTTGTTCTTCGATTCTCGTCTTGAATACATATTTAAACGTCCATTATTAAATTAATTCAAAATCTTTAAACATAAATTATATTGTAATCACTTTTAAATTAATAAAAAAATAATTAACCATACCTTGAAAAGATGTTTCTCTGGTTGTACATGGTGCAGTTTTATTGCATTTTTTCCGTTAAAATAGGTAAGCATTCGGCAGTTATCTCGGACAGCCACAACTGTAATTTGTAGTGAGGTGTTAAACTTTGTACCACAAAAGTTTAAATATCTTCTTTTCTTTAATAGCTAAGTTGAACGAACCAATCTTAATATTGCTAGTTAATTTTTTTAACCTAATTTTTTCTTTTATTATTATTAGGTGGTCTTCTTCTCTTCTTTTGTTATTTGTTTAATCGGAGGCGATATTAATTTTAATATTAGTTATTAAATATCGGTGATTACTTTTTTATTTTTAAATAAAAATTTTTGTCTTTGTGATATGTTTTTTTTTTGTTTTCTTGGCACGTTTTTTTTTTGTTATTGTGACACGTTTCGGTAAATTTTTCGTATACTTCTACGATCGTGAAAGTGCTTTCACAAAAATCTTTACAATATTTGTTTTTTTGATTGATTTTACGAGCTTTCATAGATCATTAATATATAGAAATTATATATGCGATGTCCTTTTTTTATTTTATTTTTCCTTGAAACACAAAACAATCTTTGATTGATTTTCTGTAATTAGATATTTTTTTATGAAATGGTCCTTAAACATTTGATTAAATTAACCCCTAAACTCGATAAGTTATTATAAAAACTTAAGGGTTATATAGATTGGATTTATCAAGTTCAAATATTATTTTTAACTGAAAATAAATCAGGAGTTGACTTTATTAAATTAACCAAGTTATGAATTATTTTGTGTTTTAAGCTGCTTCTTTGTTTCTATATTCACAAGACTCAAACATGAATCCTATTTAAAAAAAACATCAAGTCCCTTTTATATTCGAATCAATTCTTATAGAGATTCATTATAGAAATGCTGTTTTTGATCTAATTTTATTTATACATAACATCAATATTTAAATTTTTGACTTCAGTGGTAAAGGAATTATTATTGTTCCTTGACGTATTGGGTTCGAACATAAAAAATGTCAGGGGTATGAGGGTTCAATATCAAATGATTGAAAGTTGTTTTTTAATAAATAGTACATTGTACTTACTCCAGATTAATAAAATAAAAACTAATAACCAATACCAATTAATAGAGGTCAATAATCCTTTTTTGGATTGTTATTTGATTTGGTGTATGTTTTAAGGATAAATTATGTTTTCAGTATTTAAATAATTAGTTTTGGTTCATTTTAGTATCTAAACTTTTAATTTTTTTTAAAAATCATACCTAAAGTTTAGTTTTTATTTCATTTTAACATCCCGTTCAAATTTTAATGTTAATTTTAAAAAGTAAAAGTTTAGGTACAAAAATGACTAAAACTAATAGTTTAAGTACTAAACGCGTTAAGTTTTGTATTGGTGATGTACTATAATGAAACAAAAATTAAACACTAGGCATGGTTTTAAAATTTTTAAAAGTTTATATACTAAAACGGACCAGAACTGATAGTTTAGATACTAAATGTGTAGTTTATCATTGTTTTTAAAAGTGAAGCTCACTTCATGTGAACCAACTTTGATGAAATTGGGCATATTCGTGTTGGGAAATAAAACAAGTACGAGTAACAAGTAATTTCCCTATAACCAGATTAGTGAGAATGCAAAATAAAAGCGGAAAAATAATACCCGAAATTGATAACGGAGTTCAGCCAATTATGTCTACGTCTCCGGACTGCTGCAGATCTTTTACTAAGAGTGAAAATTTACAGGTGTTTACAAAACGCTCACTACTCACAAGAAAGCTCTCTAGTATTGGGAGAAAGAAAATGATTTGGGATGGTTTTGAAGCTAAATGAGCTAAGGTATTTATAGTTGAAGCTTAAGGACTTAATCTTGTAAATACCCTAAAGTCTAAGAATTAATTATGATTATCTCATTATCATTTTTCAACAAACATCTACCAAACTTTGAAAAACTATTTTTCAAAGAAATATTTACCCAACTTTAAAAACCATTTTTAAAAAAACATTTATCAAACTTTGAAAATCATTTAGGCGTAACTATTCCAAATATCACTAACATTTAGGCGTTGGTTCAAAAATGCCATTGACGTTTCAATTTTGTCAATTTAAGCATCAACGTTTATGTTTTACTCCAATTAAGTCACCTCGCCGTTAATCCGTTAACGGGACGCTGACATGACATGGACGGGCCGTGACGGTGATGACGTGGATGCCTTACCAAAACGACGTCTTTTCAACACAACTATTTTGATGCTCAATAAAGATAAAACGACATAATTTTACTTGAAAAATTATTAAAATAATATGTAACTAGAGGCATTTGAACCCCAAACCCCTTGAAATTAAACTTAATGCTTAACCATTGAACTACCTTATATATATTTTTTGTTATGTTTTCTATAAAAGGTTTAAAATTTTAAAACTCCAGTTAACGATGATTGAATCCCAAATAAAATTGTTGCTAAACCCCTGTCATCGATATCTAGTACCCTTTATCTCTATCTACATTATCTTGTTTTCATCACCATATTCTCGAAATTGTTGCTTTTAGTAAATTCAAGAACACACCCAACAGATGTACAAGTTCTCAAAGATATGAAAAAGGGTGTGGCCCTCCTTCCATTGCTCTAGATCTTGTTTGAGCTCATGGGATTTCTCCATTGACCCATGCGACAACATTTTCACTGACCACTTCACTTGCGGCCTCAGGTGTGATACACTAGTCTTTGGTTTGTTTCGAGTTCCCGACTCGTTCTCCAATTTAACTCGCCTGGGTCGACTAGGTCTCTCCGAGAACTCAGTCACCGGTGAAATACCCGCCGTTCTTGGGTCACTCCCTCACCTTCAAGAACTCTACCTTGACAACAACCATCTCCATGAACCAATTCGTTCAAGCTTTAACAACCTAACACGCTTGAAACGACTCAAAATCCAACGAAACTACATTTCCGGTGAGTTTCCTGATATGGGTTCACTCAAAAAGGTTTACTTTCTCGACGCTAACGATAACAACGTATCCGACCAAGTCCCATCAACGTTGCCAGTACCTCTCGTCAAGCTCTCGATGAGGAATAATATCCCAGACAACATCGACAATATTAGGTTCTTACAAGTTCTAGATCTCAGTCACAACATGTTATATGGTGCAATATCATCAGTTTTTTCAAGCATCGTTAACTGCAATTTTAAAATTTTAAAACTTTTATAGAAAAAATAATAAATAAATATAAGGTAGCTCAATGGTTAAGTAATATGTTTAATATCCATGGGTTTGAGGTTCAAATCCCTCTAGTTCCATATTAATTTAATAATTTTTCAAGCAAAACGACGTCGTTTTGTCTTTATTGAGCATCAAAATAGTTGTGTTGATACGATGCCATTTTGGTAAGGCATTCAATTCATCACCGTCATGGCCCGTCCATGCCATATCAGCGTCCCATTAACGGATTAACAGCAGAGTAGCTTAATTGGAGTAAAACATAAATGCCAATGCTTAAATTGGCAAAATTAAAACGTCAGTGTCATTTTCGAGCCAACGCCTAAAGGTTATTGATACGGGTGAACTTTTCCTACAAGTTTTAATACAGCATCGGTGAAGGAACAAAAAGGAAAGAAGACAGGTGAACTTGGGTTCTATGAACACAGATAACACAAACCAAGTTTTGTCGTGCCTAGAACCAGAGAGTATGTATTATTACATATATATTCAAACCCATGTTAGTTGGTACCTTACCCATTCTCAAAGGGGGAATGATGTGGAAAAGATCTGGGCCTAGTCGAAGCATTAGGTTCACTTCTAGAAGATCCCTGAGTTGAAGCTAGAATAGAAGATGTATCAGTATTGCTGGTATGGGCGTACGATTATATGATACAGAGAAATTGGAGACTGCCGCCCCCAACTGTGATATCGGATGCTAATGTAGGTAAAGCATGGGAGATAAATATCTCATTGTGCCCGGCGAGGATATTCAACTGGAAAATAAATTTGGGATCATCAACACTATCATTAGATCTTATAGTTGTGGGCGGAAATGGTCCAACATAAGCAAAATATGAATAAGCAACAGATGAAGCATCAGCATGTTCAGCAAATGTTAGGATGATCTACATGCAGAATAAGTATTATTTTTGTGTGACACAGTTGTCAATTCATTGAATCAACAAAGAAATGAGATGAAGGAAGTGATTTTAATCATAAGAACTTACATGTCGTTGATGGAGATTCCGCTTCCCTGAAAGATATAACAAAACAGCAACATGTCAGAGACCGCAGCAAAGTTTGTATCCTATCGAATGGATTGCCGAACATTTTGTGAAAACAGGCAGCAAGATTCATATGTAAATGAGTTTCCATCTTGTTTCACAAGAGAAAATGAGGGATCTGGCACCACAAGAACTGCAGTAGCTCAATCGAAACTGGAGTTTACATACAACATAAGAGCTACCGAGAAAGTTCAAAACCCGCACAACATTCATCACTGCTTATAATCCTTCCATCACAAGTAAAAAGATAGATCTTGCTTACTCGGGTGATGAATCAACTCTCGAAAGTTCGCCAAAGGGACACCATTGAGATCTAACATGCTGCGTATAAAGAAGCTGCAACGCACTGCAAGAAAAAATGTAACCAACAACCATTTCACAGCAAACAAAGAGAAGATTTAACGAGAAAACATGTAGCACCTATAAAGCTTTTAGTGGAAAGGAAATAAGATTCTAAATTCTTCATACTGTTTTATTGTTTAAAGGAATCTTAACAATCTTGATATTGTTCTTATAGCCTTACTAGCCATAATCTGCATCAACCTAAATGACATTAAAGCATATCACTGACTTCCAAGCTAAACATGAAAAAGGTCGGCTTTT